CCGTTTCTTGTCTCTTGATGTAGGGCACGTGAAGCTCTCAGGCAGTGCCTTCCTGACCAGCTGAAGGACACCACCTTCGCCCAGGTCCTGAAGGATGACACCACCACAAAGCGCTGGCTGGCTCAGCTCGTCAAGAACCTGCAGGAGGGTCAAGTCACTGACCCACGGGGCATTCCTCTTCCTCCGCAATGACTGCTGGGGGAGGTGGGGCACTGGGGAAGAAACAGCTCAGGTTTACAAAGAACCAGGAACAGGTGACCTCTTCTGCAACAAACTGGGCACGCCAGCTGCCTGCTGGCCTGTCGGACCATCCCACCCAGCCAAAGGGCTGCTCTGTAGCAGTGCAGCAAGCCTCCGGGGATCCCAACACCAGCAAATGCTGATACTACAGCTTCAAAAAAATCAATAAAAACAATCTGTGTAGATCCCAGTCTCTCCGGGAGGCTTGGGTGGCATCTCTTCCCCCACCTCCAGGCAGGGGGGCAGTGCAGATGTCCACTCTTCCAGCAAACTCAGCCTCTGCCCAAGTGGTGCACAACAGCGGGTATGTGCACCACGTCCCTCCAGTTCCTTGTCAGTTCTTGTTTACATGTCTGTTTAGATGAGTGAACTGAATAAAAGCTGATCCAGTTGTTTTATCCCCTCCTTATACTGCTACTCAGCTGCAGGTAGTCCAGGGACAGCTTTTTTCCCTGCCAGCACATCCTTGCTCCTGGCTCTGCATCTGTCTGGCACAGTGAGCTTCTCTCTTCTTTCATTTGGCGTGGGGGGAGTGGCTGCAGCCAGGCCACTGCGGTGCTTGCCCCAAGAGGAGGGATGGATTACTTGCAATGAACCCATGTGTCATAAGGTTGCTTCACAGAGCTCTGGGGAAGGAGAAGACAGCAGGATTGTGCCTCCTGTGCTGTAAATAGTTCACTCCCACAGCTGACCAGCAGCCAGAGGCTGATGTGTGCTGGCCTCTCATCTAGACCTGGGAAGGCTGCTGGCTGGCTTATCACATGGAGCTCAGTGTGAGGGCACCTGCCTTGTGGTGGTCAGGCCACCGACTGATCTCCTGCTGCCTGCAGGCTCCAGGTATGCTGCCTTCTGCTCCCGCTGCTGCCCGCAGGCGCCTCTCAGTCCTGTTCCCTCCCTTCCCCCCTCCTCCCGCTCCCTCTGCCAGCCAGGTGCATCCATTTCAGCTTTGAAACCTGCCTTGGCATCTGCCACGGCCCCACTGCAATTAACCTGGACCAGCAGCCACTTACCTGCCGCCCCTGTGCCGAGGGGCTAATGCAGCCACAGCAAGCTCTCGGAAGCAGTGGAGGAGCTCCCAGGCTCTGCGGCAGCAAAGCCTGCTCTTGGCTGCAGCAAGCCTGGGCAGCTACTTAATTTCTCCCCCCTCTTCGAGTAGCCCATTTTGCTGATCATCTGCAGTGTCGTGCCAACAGTGTCTTAAATCCCATCATTTCCCTTCCCTCCTCCTCTCGCAGCCTTGCATAACAAGGGCAGAGCACAGCCTCTTCCTTGCCCTCGGGTTCCTGTTTTATAACCATTGCCTTTTCCCTCCTTTTCACCCTGACCTTGCCAGGGTGTGAAAATGCTTCTGTTTGGTTGTTTGTTTTTTTTTAAAAATTCCGATTAATAAATAATAAAACCCCAGCCAGCACAGATTGGTCCCGGTCTGGTCTCTCGGGGGGAGTAGGGGCAAGCGGCGCGGTGGGGATTTATTGCAGATGGGAGGAAGGGCGGGATGTGCCACCTTGGGGGTATGAGCGTGGAAGAGCGGCCTTTTTCCAGTGCGAGCTGGCTATGTCCCTGTGGCGCCGCATCTCTTCTGGGACAGGTAGTGTGGAGGGGATGCTGCCCTGTTTTGCTTCGCAGGAAGGCAGCGAGCCTGCCAGAGAGAGAAGCGTCTTTGCGAGCGCTGCCGCACTCCCCCGGCGTCCAGGTCTGTCAGAGCATCGCCCACCCCAAAGTTCAGTCCCTGCCCTTCACCCTTTGCCCCCAGCTTGGATCCCCATGCGTGCAAGCGGATCTGGGGACAGACAGGCTCAACCGGAGGATAAGAGTGGGGGCTCGACCCCAAACGAGGGGCTCCGCAGGGTGCTCCCAACCCTGCCGGCCCCTCCGCCGCCTTCTTTACCTGCCCCCCCGGCTCCGCCTCGGGAGTGGCGTGACCTTAATCCGAAACGACCTTGAGAGGCAGCGGCTGCGGGGCGTGCGGGGCCGGGGGCGCCCCGCGGGGGCGGGGGATCGGGGCCGGGACCGGGGGAGGGCTCGCTGCCCGGGCGCTGCCGAGGGGCGGGCAGCCCGGCTCCGTGCGGCTGCTGGCGGCGGAGCACCGGCGGAGCGGAGCGGAGCGGCAACGGAGAGCGGGTACGGAGCGGGCGTCCTGCGGAGGGGAGGGGGCGACGGCAGGTACGGGACTGCGACCTCCAGGTTCTGGGAGCCCCTCTCTGGGGCTGCGGTGCCCCGGAGCGGCTGCACGGTTGGGGTGGCGCGGGACAGAAGTGCCGGCGGTTTTGTCTCCTTTGCCATAAGGTGTGATTTGTCCCCTGAGCTCTAAATGCCTTGGGGTTTGCCGTCCCATCCCGGAGCCCCTATTCTGTTCCCCGCCTCACCTCCAAGCCCTTCTGCCCCCGGCCAGCTACCGGCTGAGCGAAGCTCTAGAACGAGAGCAGTTTGTAAGCACACCGGGGCAGCGAGGTGTGGGGGTGCCTGAAGGGGGGTGAGGGGTCATCCTTCCCTGTTCTGGCACGCTCACCCGTGCGGTGGCATTTTATTCTGACGGGCTGCTCTGCACTGGAGCGGCTGGGGACCGCTCACACTCACTGTCCCTCCAGCTCTGCTGGGGCCTGTCACCACCAGGAGAGACGCTGCGATGGCTCAGAGTGTACTGGGTAGCTGGGGCTGTTCTGGCAGCAGGCAGCTGCCCTGCGGGAAACTCTCGGGTTGGGTTTCTCCATACCCTGGCTCTCCTCCCGTTTGGCTCAATAATGTAATTCAGACTGGGGCAAGGGGGCCTGCATGGGGCCAGGCTGTGAGGGGCTCATGGCATCCCTCACACAACAGGAGAGGGCAGAACAGATGTGTCCTTGCACTCACATGCTCTTCCTTGTGCTTTCTTGTGCTTCCTTGGGTTGGAAGGGGGCATCCCATCTTTGCTGCACTTGTGGGGAAGGCACTGCTCCATAGTTGGGACTGGGAATGCTTGGGCCGTGCTGGGAGCCTGGAAGGGCTGGCACTGGGGGAGAAATTTAGCTCCAAATTCTCAGTGTGGTTAATGGGCCCCAGGGCTATGAGCTGCCCCTTTGCATGCTGCCACCTTGTACACATGCATGGCAGGGTGCCAAGACGACAGAACTGTTGGTGGCACTGAGCCCATCTTTGTCCCAGTCCAGCATGTCACCCTGCTTCTCCAGTTCTGGTGCCACCCCAGCTTCCCTAAGACATGCCCATCTCCCTCATCTGCTGTGGCACAGGGGCTGCAGAGCTGGTGAGCACCTGGAGCTATGGCCCTGTGAAGTGGCTGTGCCAGGCTGGGTGCTGCTGGAAAGCAGGAGAGTGCAGGCAGATGGGTGACTGGGGTTGTCCCTCCTGGTTCCCTGAGGGCCATGGGGTGCAGGAGCTGAGAGCACACTGTGGAGGGTGGATGTGGGGCACCCCTGGAGCTGTGCTAGCCAGCATCAGGGCACCGACTCTGAAGGCACAAGAGGAGCACACACCCCCATTTCTGGCACTCCAAGTCCTGGGCCAGTGGGTCAGTGCCCTGTGGGTTGGATATGGGGGGATAAGGCACTGCAGCAAGTCCTTGCAGTCTGAGCCTTGCAAGAAGGACCAGTGCTGGGGAAGCACAGCCCCAGCACTGGGCACTACTGGAGGGCATTTGGGATGGCACCCTCGCTACTCCATGTCTGCAGCAACATGTGAGGTCTCCAAGAGTGGACAGACAATCCCTGTGTGCCCTGGGGACAGTCAAATAGCCATGACTAGGGTGTCTCACAAGAGCAGGGCCACAGCCTGGCCAGCCTGGCCAATGCTGTTCTGCCCTGCTGAGCCACATGGAGCAGGGGGTGGCTGCTGTCTGGCCTGAGAGCCCACAGGGGTCTGGCAGCTGGGCTTGGCAGCTGCCTGCACGCTGACGGCACCGGCTATTCCCAGCCCTGTGTGACCAGTGCCTGTGCTGAGTCAGGGACCCAGGGCACAGCTGCCACCCCTACACCCTGGCACAGAGCCCTTTGCTCCCAGGGACCCTGGGTCCCCTCCTGCACCCAAACCCCAGCCCACCAGCTGCGGCATCCGCTCCTCCAGGCCCAGCTCCAGCACCTGGGTGACAGGCACATCCAGTGATTTGTCAGCGTAATAAAGTCTCAACAGCCTAATCAAAGTCTCATTGTCCAGTAGTATTTATAGACACACTCACTGCCATGTGCTCCCTGTACAGCTGCGGGTGCAGTCACTGCCTGGGGTGCTGGTATTCCCTGGGGAGAAGAAGCTGTAGGAGCTGAGGGTCATTGCTCTTCCTTGCTATCACAGGAGAGCTGTGGCTCTCCCTTACTTTCAAATTTGCTGGTTGGGGTTGTTTCCTAGGTGGTGGGGGTGTCCTTGGGCACTGCCAGAGCAGTTTTTCCTGGTTTCAGGCACTGCTTCTTACCTGGGAGCAGCAACCTGGGAGCAGCAGGGCTCTAGTACCCGCTGGGCTGTGGGGCGTCAGCGCTGGCAAGTTTTTCTGTTTTCCACCAACACCTTTTGAGCTCCGGCTTCCCGGTAACACAGATTAATATTTCATGAGTATGGCGGTGTGAACTCGACACTTAAGGAATGCAATGACCCAGCAGGAGACAGACACAGGTGCGCTCAGACGCGGGCAGGGGCACACACACCTCGCACACATGTGGGTATGGCTGGAGCCCACTCAGCAGGACCTGGGCACAGCATGAGGGTCTGACCTTGCTTCCCCCAGCCACCTTCTCTCTTCCCTCCCCAGCTGCTGCCAGCGTGGAGAAGGCAGAGCTATGGCATCGCTGCTGTGCAACGCCCGTGAGTGCCCCAGCGGAGGATGGGTGCAGGGCAGGGCATTGGGCCATCTGGATTTATGCCGAGGCAAATCTGGCTTCTGGGTTGAGCTCACCTTGCTGCACTCAGAAGCATCCCTACCCCACTGTGGCCATTGGGATTTGGGCTTGGAAGCACCAAAGGTGGATGGGAAGGGTTGATGGGGAATTACCCTGTACACCTCTTGCGGTGAAGGGAGTTTGTTTCTGGTTTGTGCCTCCTCCCTCACGGATTGAGGGACCATGTGTGACCCCAGAGGTGAGAGGAAGCAAAGTACCAGGGCGTAGTGCCTGAATACCCCCACCCTCAGTGATGCAGCCCATGCTGCCCCCAGGCATCCAGCTCACAGACACGCTGGAGCAGATGCAGCAGGGGACTCTGATGCGCAAAGTCAAGTCCAAGAGCTGGAAGAAGCAGCGTTACTTCAAGCTGCAGGAAGACTGCATGACCATCTGGTACCAGTCCAAGAGGACAGGCAAAACTGAGTCTGCCTGTGAGTACCAGCTGCTGTGTGTTATTAGTAGGTTTCAGAGTAAACAGGGATGTGAAGGTTTGTAGATTCTTTGGCCATGCTTGCTAAGGGTAATGGGGGATTGAAGAAAGGCTCTGCATGCATTTGTGATCTCACCCACACCTTTCCATGAAACATCCTGCCCCCAGCAGGACCCGTGGGTCAAAAGGGCTGAGTAGAAATTGCAGCTGATACAAATGGAACCTCTGGAATGCCAGCGCAGGAGTAAGCAGGCAGAGGGGCAGATGGATGACTGGCTGACTTGATAGTTCAGCGGTTAATGGATAGATAACTAGCTCAGTGGATGGATGGATGGATGGATGGATGGATGGATGGATGGATGGATGGATGGATGGATGGAGTGGAAGAAGGAATGACTGGAAGATGTCTGTGGGCAGTGCCCCTTGCCCTGCGGTCCTTGTCTCCTGCAGACAGGCCTGCCCTCCCTCTGCCCCAGTCTCCATCAGCGATGTGGAGACGGTGCGGGAAGGGCACCAGTCGGAGGTGCTGCAGAGCGTGGCTGAGGAGTTTCCCCCTGAGCGCTGCTTCACCATCGTCTTCTACGGCCGTCGTGGCAACCTGGACCTCGTTGCTGGCTCGGCAGAGGAGGCACAGTGCTGGGTGCAGGGCCTGCGTCAGCTCATCGAGGTGGCCACCACCATGGACCAAAGGGAGAAGATAGACCAATATCCTTCCTGAGAACATCGTTCTGCCCCCACACCCATTGCTGATCCTCCCCCAAGCCCTGTGTCTTCTGCCTTATCCCAGCATGTGTGTAGCTGTTGTGGGTCTCACCATCTGCATCAGTGCAGGGCACAGGAAAAGGAGAAGATGCTCTCTGATATTACCCAGCCCCTTTTTTCATAGCCAAGGTCCTTTCCCTTAACATTTGCCCTGGTTTCCCGCACATGGATTCGTGACTGGTTCCAGAAAGCTGACAAGAATAAGGATGGGCGCATGAACTTCAAGGAAGTGCAGCGTCTCCTGAAGATGATGAATGTGGACATGAACGAGGATCATGCCCTGAGGCTCTTCCAGGTAAACACTGCACCTGAGAGCCTGGGGGGACTGGAGAGGGACTGGAGGGGCTGGAACAAGCTGTACAACACCTCCTTGCAAAGGGATCTGGTCACTTTCCATCCATCCATCCATCCATTCATCCATCCATCCATCCATCCATCCATCCATCCATCCATCCATCCATCCATCCATCCATTTTTCAGCCAACTACCTGTTTACCCAAACAAACACCCATTTGCTTGTTTATTTGTTAAACTAACACTCCCTTCCTCCCATTCATTTGTCCATCCAGCTGCTTATCTGTCTACCCAGCTAACCAGCCATCTGCTTTCTTATCTCTCCCTCCCATCCATCCATCAGTCCATGCTACCAGCTTCCATCTGCCCATTCATCCATTCCCCACTGATCAATGCCTGCCACTGGCACTGGTGTGGGATCTCTGTGCCCTCTCTTTGGGTGAGAGAATCCTTCCACAACCACTTTGGTGGCCAAGATACCTTGCTGTGCCCCATCTGGATGCTGAGTGAGCTCCCTTGCAAACAGGATGCTGACAAGTCAGAGTCGGGGACGCTGGAAGGGGAGGAATTTGTGCTCTTCTACAAGGCTCTCACGAAGCGTGAGGAGGTGCTGAGCCTCTTCCAGGAATACTCTGAGGATGGAAAGAAGCTGACACTGCTGGAGCTAGCGGATTTCCTGCGGGAGGAGCAGCTGGAGGATGAGGGCACAGAGGAGCTGGCCATGGAGCTCATTGACAAGTATGAACCATCAGAGACAGGTGAGAGCTGGCTCAGACATCAGCTGCACTCTGCTTGGGGGCAAGGAGGGGTCACAGACTCACAGTACCGTGGCAGAAGCATTCCCAGCCCCATCCTGGTGTGAATGGAAGACTCACCAAGGTGTGATCTGGGGGCAGTTCCCCTTTATTTGGTCCGTTCCTTGACCATTTTGGTGTAGAAGGTTGACCACCCATGGTGTGCAAGCCCCAGCTTTGGGATCCACTGCCCACCTTTCCAAAGTTACTGCTCTGCTGCGCCTTTCTGTGCCCCAGACTCTGGCAGCAGCTGTGGCCATCAGTTTAGGGATTCTGGGAGCCTCCAGCCGCCCTGTTTGCCCCCATTCTGCCTCTTCCATGTCCCTGGCTGTTGCTGAACCTCTCTCTGTGCCTGCAGCCCGGGCCCGCCATGTGCTGAGTGCTGATGGGTTCCTCATGTACCTCTGCTCCCTGGAGGGCTCCATCTTCAACCCCCAGCACCGGGGGCTGTGGCAGGACATGAGCCAGCCACTCTGCCACTACTTCATCTCCTCCTCCCACAACACCTACCTGATAGAGGATCAGATCCGGGGCCACAGCAGCATCGAGGGTTACATCAGGTAAAGGGACTGCTCCCCTCCAGCTGCGCTCCCACCCCAGTGTCATGTCCTGAGCAGCTCCATAGCGTGAACCCCAGAAGCTCCTTTGCTCCTCTGCAGTCCAGCACTCCTTTGGCCATGCTCTGCATGCAGCAGCATCTCCATCCTTGATGGGTGTCCCCTGGTCCCTCAGGGGTGACCCCCACGGGCAGAGGGGAAGGCAGGGAGCTGGTGCCCTGGATGAGTGCAGGGTTCCAGGGATGACAACCCACCCCCAGGGCTCTGAAACGAGGCTGCCGGTGCCTGGAGGTGGATTGCTGGGACGGGCCAAATGGGGAGCCCATGGTGTACCACGGCCACACCTTCACCTCCAAGATCCCCTTCCGGGAGGTGGTGAGCACCCTGGGGAAGTACGCCTTCAAGGTAAGGCACCCTCCCCCAGGTGCTGGTGGTTGTGGGTGGTCCTTGGTGGGTGAGGATGCATGGCAGTGGTGGGGCAGTGGTGCTGAGGCTCACACACCTGCTGATGCAGCAGGACTGGTCCCACTGCAGGGAGCGGGGTGGTGGCTGTCTCACTTTCTGGGGGAGAGCACTGGGGGGTCTGACCTACAGCCTGCACTGTGCAGTGCCAGGGCTTGGGGGCTCCTGCAGACGTGGACTGTTGGGGTGCAGGGGTGAGAGGGAGTGTGGGGGATACTGGGGGATTGGAGGGGTATGAAGGTCTCAGAAGAGACACAGACACAAGGGGCTCCATCCTGGCACTGATCACGCCTGGATGAAGCCCTTGAGAGAGCTCACCAGCCCCACCAAGGTTATTTCCAGGTGTGCGTGTTGCTCCTCAGACCTCGGACTACCCGGTGATCCTGTCCCTAGAGAACCACTGCAGCATGGAGCAGCAGGAGGTCCTGGCCCAGCAGCTCAAGGACATCCTGGGGGAACAGCTCCTCACCACTACCATCGATGGGCATGTCCCCACCCAGCTCCCATCCCCAGAGGTATGGACAGAGCACAGCTGTGCAGGGGCATCTCTGTCCTGCCTGAGAGTGTGGTTAGGAGGTGGATCTGCAGTTCAGAGAATAGGCCAACCTGTCCCAGCATTGCCCTGCTCCACTGGAGCATTTGAGAACACTGGGGGTGGGTACTGAGTCCTCATGTTCACAGAAGTGCCAAGGCTGTCCCCAGGGTTGTCTCCCCATGTCATGCAGAATCAGACAGTGGGGCAAAACCCTCCTACCCCATCCCCTTCTGAGTGCTGAAGGGAGCTGGTGATGCTGGCCTCCCGCAGTGCAGGATCCCAGGGCACAAGGCCCATGGAGGCACTGGGTAGCTCAAGGTGCTTCTCTATCCCCAACCCCACAGGAGCTCAAGCACAAGATCTTGCTGAAGGGCAAGAAGATTGGGCGGCTGGAGGACACCCTGGATGGGCCAGGGGATGAGGCTCCTGATGTGTCTGACGATGACAATGGGGCAGAGGCAGAGGAGGAGAGGCGGAGGGCAAAGGTAAGCGGCCCAGGCTGGGGACCAGCTGGGAGAGCTGAGCCCCTGGACACAGCTATGAGCTGTGGTGACATCTTACTGCATAGAGGAGAGACAGAGACTGCAGAGACATCACCAGGCAGGGAGGACAGCCTTTTCTGCCCCTTGCCATGCCAGCCCTCTCTTTGTTGTGGTGGCAACATATTGGAGGTCCCCTGCTTGCTCTATTTCTGGCAAGAAGACTGCTCACAGTAGGGATGCTGCCACCCACCAGCACACCCCTGGCTGCTCTTACCTGCCCTGGCTCTAGGGCCCCTGGCCTGGGTGAGTGCTGGTGGATGGTGCTCCCATCAGGAGGGACCCAACATGGCTCTGCCTTGCAGAAGGACAAGGAGACCTTGGCCCAAGCATTGTCCGACTGTGTCATCTATTGCAAGAATGTGCCCTTCCGGGGCTTCCAGGAGGCCCGCAGCCATTCCCGGCCCTCTGAGATCTCCTCCCTCTCTGAAGCCAAGGCCAGGAAGCTCATCCGGGATGAAGGTGAGATGGGGGGGGCCGTGGCACCGGGTGACTGGGACAGAGTAGAGGGGGCTGATGGCTTCCTCATGGAAAAAGCCTCCTGACACTGGGGTTCCCTCTCTGTCTGGGAGAAACAGGGCCCAGTGGGGCTTTACTGTGGGGTTTGGCTCTGGTAAGTGATGAGGTTATTGGCTTAGAAAACAAGGCAGGACACCTGGATTCCTGAGCAGGGAGAGGGGTGAGAATTGGTGGGTTGATGGATAGATAGATAGATAGATAGATAGATAGATAGATAGATAGATAGATAGATGAGAGGATGGATGGATGGATGGATGGATGGATGGATGGATGGATGGATGGACAGTACATGTGGGTGACTGTACAGGCAGAGAACGACCCCACAAATGGGCCTCCTGCTCTATCCCTAGGAAATGAGTTTGTTCGCCACAATGCCTGGCAGCTGACACGCATCTACCCCAGTGGGATGAGGACTGACTCCTCCAACTACAGCCCCCAGGAGATGTGGAATGTGGGGTGCCAGATCGGTACGGCCGGGGTGGAGCAGGGCTGTGGGCTGGGGACATGCCCTGAGTCCTGTGCTAAATGCCACCCTCAACCCCATCTGGAGCCAGGTCAGGTTGCCAGCTCTTGCACTGCCCTGGGGATGTTCAAGCATTATCACCTTACTCCCATATGCAACTCCACATCTCTCTGGCTGTGGGGACAGGCTGGCTTTCAGCCCAAAGCAGAGTGTGGTATCTCCAAGCTGTTCTGAACTCTTTTCCCTGCCACCTCCCTCCAGTGGCCTTGAACTTCCAGACAGCTGGCATGGAGATGGACCTGTGTGATGGGCTCTTCAGCCAGAATGGCTGCTGTGGCTACGTGCTCAAACCACCCTTCATGAGGGACAAGGAGACTCTCTTCAACCCCAGTGACCCCAGCAGCCGGGAAGGCCCTGGCCCCATCACCCTGACAATCCAGGTACAGTGAGTGTGTGGAGAGACCCTGGGGAAGCTGTGACAGTATCCTGGGGCTCTGTTTGTCCCAGACAGATGGGGACACTGTTGGGCAGTGTGCTGGAGCCAAGGAGCTTCACAAAAGACAGATTTGGCCCTGCAGGTAATCAGTGGGCAGCAGCTGCCCAAAGTGGCCAACAGCAAGGAGGGAGCCATCATTGACCCATTGGTGCGCGTGGAGATCTACGGGGTCCCCGCGGACCAGGCGCACCAGGAGACCAAGTACATCGAGAACAATGGTGAGACCCAGAGCAGCACCATGGCCCCTGCTGTGTCCCTGCTCTCCTTCCCTCTCTCAGCACCTGCTCTCTCTTCCCAGGGTTTAACCCCCGCTGGGATGAGACACTGCAGTTCCAGCTCCACGTGCCCGAGCTGGCTCTCATTCGCTTTGTGGTGGAGGATTATGACAAGACGTCCAGGAATGATTTTGTGGGTCAGTTCACCCTAGCATTTGCCAACATCAAACCTGGTGAGTGGCTCCTGCCCTGTGGTTTTGGGAGCCCAGAACAGCCCTGCAAGCATGTGGGGGGCTCTGCTGGGTACTAGAGAGGAGGGTGGGATTCCAGTTAGCCAGAACCTTGCTGTCCTTCCTGCAGGATATCGGCACATCCATCTCCTCTCAAAGGATGGCACCAGCATCCCACCCTCTTCGCTCTTTGTCCATATCCGCATCACTGAGCCACCTGGCCCTGAGCAGGACTGAGCTCATGGGGTGAGCAGCACCCAGATGGAAGCCATAGAGCCAGCTCCAAGCAGCTGGGGCCACAGAGCCAACCAACTTGCCCTCTTGTTGACCTGTTTCTGCCATCCCTGTGTCATTGTTGCTGCTGTGATTCCCTTTGCAGTAGCCTCCGAGGGCTGGGAAAAAGCACTGACCTCCCCTTTCCAGGTTCAGGATGCTGCTGCCCATGCATGAGTGTGGGGTCTATGCCAGTGCAGCTCCCTGCACCCTCCACAGGCACCCTGCCCTGGCCCACGGTCAGAGCTTGACTGTGGGGAGGAGGAGAGATGGTGTGTGGCCCAGCTCTGCTGCAGGGGCTGGTCCCCTCCCAGTCAGGGGAGCAAGGCTGGAGCTGAGCAAACCCCAGGGCTGGGCACAGCTGGGAATGGAGTTGGTCCTCACCGCCCCCTAACCCTGCAGAGCCCGTTGGCCCCTCCAGCCCCAACTTAACCCTTATCCCATCCTTTCTCTGTAAGCAACTTAATAAATTGTTCAGTGACAAACAGGTTCAGGTCTGGGTGCAGTGATGCTGGGGAGAGATGGGGAGCTGAGCTTGGGTTTGTGCTCCTTCCCTGTGGGCACATGGCCCACTGTTCACACAGGGGTTCCAAGCAGCACAAAGAAACAGAAACTGAGCAATGCCTTTTATACAGTTGTGTATTTTACAGCCCATATACATATATGCCTGTATATACACACACATACATCCCTGCAGCAGGCCTGTACCACCAGCACCTTAGCTGGGATTCAGCCTCACTGTGCTGTGCCATCCTTCTCTGAAGGGCACTCGCCTTCTTGCTCCATCCTGGGGGCCCCCTTGGCCTGGCTCTCCCTCTGCACACTGTGAAGGTGGACGGTGTGTGTGCTGGGGTCCTTTCCCACCCCCTGGCTAGGGTCAACAGCCCTGTGCTCAGGGTGATGCCGCTGGATGTGTTTGATGACCTGGAACTTCTGCTTGGCCTTGTAGGGGCAGTAGCGGCAGAAGAAGGGGTGCTCGTTGGTGTGGGTCAGGTAGTGGTGGCGCAGGCCAGCTGCCCAGCGGAAAGCCCGCCCGCAGGCGTTGCACACGTAGGGCTTCTCCTCGCTGTGCTTCTTCAGGTGGGTCTTGAGGAGAAAGCGCGTCTTGAAGGCCTTGCCACACTGCTCGCAGATGAAGGAACGGGCCTCCTGGTGCCGCGTCTCCTTGTGCACCCGCAGGGCGTCCGCGCGGTTGGTGCAGTACTCGCACTCATCGCACCGGTATGGCTTCAGGCCTGTGGCAACAGGGAAGGGGATGGCACCAGGATGGGGGCACCGTGCTCTCCAGTCCATTCCACAGAGCATCAGTCCCCAGGGAATTCCCTCCACATCCCATTTTGTTAGCAGGCACACCAAGATCCCCATTTCCAAGCATGCTTCCCTCCCACCTGAGAGCACTGCCCCCACCCCATTAGCACAGGATAATGTGCTGCCCCCTAAATGTCCTCCTCTGTCTCTAGCTGGGCCACTGGCAGAAAAGAAGCGTGGAGCAGCCCCAACACCCTCCCCAGTGCTCGACACCTTGTCCTCAGTGGGCAGCACTCACCAGTGTGCTTTGTCATGTGGTACTTGAGCTGGTTCACCCACTTGCATTTGTAGCCGCAGTCAGGGCAGAGGTATTTCCTCTCCTCCTTGTGGATCCGCATGTGATACTGGGCAGGAGGATAGGGTCAGGATGAGACCACGTCCCCAGCCCTGGGGATGTGCAGGGCTTTGGGGTGGCAGTGAGAGGCTCAAAGACAGTTCTGACATCTCCAGCTGCATGGGGCAAGGAGGGCTGTGTGCTTGCTTGGCAGGCTATGGGCAAGGGGTATCCACACCAGAGTCAGGATGAGATTCCTGTACTGATGAGCTGCTCTGTCCCAGCCTGTGGATGGCACAGGCTTTGCTCCCCAGTTTGATATGCAACACAGTCAAATTAAAAACTCAGCCCAACAGAGCTGAGCACATTGCACAGCCTGTCCCAGGCGGCCCCAGGAGACTCCAGCTCAGCCTGGCCATTAAAAAAGTCAATATTCTTTTAGCAAAACCAGACTGTTTCTCCCTCCATTACCCTATGTCTCCATCACCCACGCATTTCCTGTTCTAGAAAAAGCCCTTTACCATGCATCAGGATGCTAATAACCTAGAGCAATGAGAGCAGGGTCATACTCTGCTTCCAAGAAAGCTGGAGGTTTCCCTGCACCCTGTCTAACTGGCACCACAGAGTATGCTGAGGCCAGCAAGCAGCCAGACTTGGCTTCGAATGGTGCAAGGCTGCATCCAGAGATGTCAGCAAGAAAAGAAGTGAACTTAGACTGCTGCCACCTTCATACTTTGTTAAAAGTCTCCCTTGCCCTTAAACTGCAACAGCAGAGAAGAAATGTATTGTATTGACAATGACTTTTATCTGCTTGACTCCTATTTCTGTTCAGTATGAGCCACTGAACACTGAGGATGAAACCTCCCCTTGGGAACTTCTTCTCCAAATCCCTGTGGCTGGATGCCCCTCCAAGCAATGCAGATGGAGTAGGATACATTCCCAAGCAGAGCTCTTACCTTGAGACGTGAGGGGTCAGCACAGGCGTATTTACAGAGATGGCACTTGTAGGGCTTCTCACCAGTGTGGATGCGGATGTGCCACGTGATCTTTTGCCTGTTCTTGGTGGTGTACTCACAGTCTGAGCACTTGTACACACGGGTGCCCCCATGGCCCTTCATGTGCTGGTCAAACACAAGCTGGTGCCGGCAGGCAAAGTCACAGAAAGGGCAGTGCAGGGGTTTGTCCTGGGGGGCAGCCGGCTCGTGACTCTCCACGTAATGCCGCACCAGCTGCTGCCGCTCCTTGGCTGCAAAGCTGCACAGCTCACAGCGGTGGCTGAAATGCTGCGTCTTGTGCTCCTCCAGTGCCTCCCGGGTGGCGAAGGTCTCCTTGCAGGTGCTGCACTCCAGGTGTGGGTGCTGCTTCTGCACGTGGCACTTGAGCGTGGCCTCACTGTGACACACGAAGTCACAGCGTGGGCAGCTGTAGGAAACCTTCTCCTCGTGCCGGCGCAGGACGTGCTGCTTGAGGGCCGTCTCAGAACTGAAGCGAGCCTCACAGCGGGAGCAGCCGAAGTTGAGCTCGCCGTGGTGGCAGCTGTTGACGTGGCGGGTGATGTCGTTCTGCAGGTAGCTGCTGTAGTCGCAGAGCGGGCAGAAGTGGGTGGGCGTCTTCTCGTGCACGCGCAGGCGGTGGATGCGCAGCTTGGAGTTGGTGCCGAAGGTCTGGCTGCAGATGCCGCAGGCGATGCGCCCCACGCCAGTGTGCAGGGACTGGTGGGCCTCCAGGCGGTAGCGCCGCGTGGTGCTGAACTCGCAGTAGCGGCACTTGTGCGGCTTCACCCCCTCGTGCTTGATGCGGATGTGCTGCCGCAGGCACCGGGCCTGCTTGCAGGTGAACTTGCACTGGCGGCACTGCAGCTGCGGCCGCTTGCTGTAATGCTTGCGGTGCAGCCTGCGGTGCAGCCGCAGGGCTTTGGCCACCTTGGAGGTGAAGGGGCAGGAGGTGCAGCGAAACTCACCCAGGGTCACGCAGCCCCTCTTCTTGTGAGTCTTCATGGCCCTTTCCTGGTGGCAGGTGAAGGGGCAGGTGGGGCAGGAGAAACGCCTCCTCTTGGGCAGGGTGGCTTTTGGTGGGGCTGCATTCAGTGGGAGCTCACTAGTCTGGTCTTTCTCAACCAGTGGGTCCCCCTCAGGGAGTTCAGTCCTTTGGGATTCATCCTCAGGATGCACGATGTGCTTTTCAGCACAATGGCTCTTGAGGGCCCGCCGGGAGCGGAAGGTTTCAGGGCACTGGGAGCACCAGAACTGCTCCAGGTTCCGGCAGCCATCCTCCACGTGGGAGGTGATGGTGGTGACACGGGAGCACACAAAGGAGCAGGCATTGCAGTGCAGCTTCCCTCCCTCCAGTCGGTATTTCTCTGAGGGTTTCCCAGACTGGGAGGCACCAGCAGCTCCACCTGGCTCAGTCCTACCCCCTTGCTGGGGAGGCTCTTCTGCCACCTCTGTGCTGTCACCCAGCAGGGATTTCTCAGAGGCTTGACAGCCTGATGTCTGTGCCCCAGCCAAAGGAATGCCTGCTGCTTGTGTTTTATCAGGTAGCTGGTCAGCTTCCCGAGGGCTCTCAGCATGCCCAGACTTCTCTGAGCCTCCCTTCTCACTCTCTGCTGTTTCTGTACCATTATCACCAGGCTGGTCAGCAGGTTGGCACAGTCCAGGTGCCTCCTGATTGGCTGGTTTGAGGATCTTGTTGTTCTTCAGGAGAACAGGGCACTTCTTTAGGAGGTGGGTGTTGAGTCCCCTCTGCTGCTTAAAGCTGGCACCACACTCACGGCACACGAGCGGGGCCCGGCGGCTCTGGCAGCTGGCTTTGGAGTGCAAGGACATGGATTTCTCCTTCCGTGTGATGTACGAGCACTTCTCACACTTAAAGACCTGGCTCTCCGACTGCACCACCAGCATCTGCACCCTGCCCTCCAGTACCAGTGTCTCTGCCTGCTCTTTGTCCTGCTTCCGCAGAGCCTTCAGCACTGATTCCGAGCCGCCCCTGGCATTGTCACCAGAGGTGGGCACATCCTCTGGGACAGGCAGGTGGCCGTGTTCAGGTGTCTTCAGCATGCTGAGCCAGGCCTCTGGCAGCTTGGCTTGGCTGGTCTCTCTCTCCTCAGTGTCTGCCACGACCTTGTGGTCTGAGCATGACCCCTCAAGGCGGCCCATGTCCTCCTTTAGGGTGTCTTTTCCCTGGTTGTCTCCTACTGCTACACTGCCCTTCACCACCTTGTCTTCCTGTACATCTACCTCTTCCTCAAAGTCTGGGATGTCTTCGAGTGTACTGCCACTGTCCTCCAAGCCAAGGCCATCCTGGGAGCCCAGCATTTCATAGGCTGCAGGAGGCTCCTTGCAGGACAGCATTTCCATGTTCTCTGGCTGAGTCACACAGGCCTCTCCAGTCAAGT